CCGGAACCCTGCATGTAAAGATATCATTACTCATGATACTACTAAGAATGAGAAGAGTGTCAAGTTGATAGAAAGATGAAAGCCTCTACACCCTGCAGCCGGCGGTGACAGTCGCAGTCAACGGAGGCCTGAACATCTCTAAACCCTCCCTGGGATTTGTTGGTGTAAGGGGCTCTTTCTGCCACATCCCTGAGCTTGGGTTTGGGATTTGGGGGGATTGGTTTCCGGAAGACAACTTCTTCGAAGAGTGATGCCCATCGTCTGAGCCTTGAACCTCAAAGGGAACGCCTGAAATATCCTCAAAGCCTCGAGTTTCCCCGACTAGTATCTAGACTTATTTGCTTATTTCCTTTGGGGGGAGGTGGGTGGGTAGATTATAGTAAGAGTAAGTAAGTATGAGGGACTATAAGGGTAAGGATTTCTGCTCCTATCTCGAGACCCCATTCAAACCCCGATATCGTCCAGGTGTAGGAGCCGGACGCTAGAGGTGACTCCAGGGTCCTGCACGTTGCGCAGCAATGGCATACACAAAAACTTGCAAAGCACCGCCGGCTGCAGAAAAAGTCTGCACTAAACGACTCAACCCCTGCAGCTTAGTGGGTATTTTAGATACGTTGGTACATTGCAGTATGTGATGGTACGTGACAGTATTATATAGAACATTGTACCTTCTACACTGGCGGTGAGGCGCCAAGCCAAGAAAGCCACTGCAGTGTTGTTTGTTTACCTAGGGTAACTGATTCGGAGCTTTTGTTCGGGTACCAAGACAACTTTAAACAGCCTTCTCCTAAAAGCCTGAAACCCGGACCCCTTGCCACTAAATCAATCCTACGCAGAAACAAAACTGAGCCGATTGCCGATTTCTCTCCTGTGTCTCCCTGTCCAGCTCCATGGGCATTACCGGCTCCTGCTCAAGGACTTCTACATATTGTGGATATGCATATAACACATTATATAGAATCTATCTATACATAATTATGTATATATGTGTGGGACAAGATCTACAACATTTGTTTCCACCTAGTCAGAGTTCACGTATTTCAGGCTTTGAGGTGTAGGGAAGGTGATGTCCAGGCTAGGCGAGCAAAAACGAAACACTTACAGCAAAGGCCTGCGCCAGAGAAGTCGTACCATGTGTTGCTCCTGGAGGACTCCCTATCAAAAAGCTTCTAAAAACCCCTAAACCTTGAACCCGACGGCTCCTAAACCTCAAACCGTGAAGCCGAAAACAAACTAAAACCCCAATGTAATGACATTTAATGTACCAGAACCCTGCTCGAAGTTTTGATGCACGTGAATTACAGAACCCCTCTACTGAACCCTATAGTAATCCTTTGAAGAAACCCTTGAAGAAACCCTACTCCAATTCAGGCCCATCACTCTATACTCTTATGACGAAACACCCTACACCTATTTAAAAAAAGACAACCTCCAAAACGCACCCATCTTGTGCCCCTTGTGAAAACTATGGTAAGCCCGCTATAGCATAATATAGGGGCTATACTTGTTTTGGGTTGCTTATTATAAAATAATTGAAAAACCTGTTCTAATGTATAAGGCCTTATAGAATATTAGTTTCCTCTCAGGAACCCTATTCTAACTATGTACGGCCCCCCAAAATCTTCTTGCAATTTCCAGAGCCTCCGCCGTCTCCAAGGGAGCCTCCGCCGACTCCTCCGCGGCTTCTTCGGCTTCCATCTCGCAAGCCTACGGAGCTCCATCCAACTGTCGTTTTAGGGTTTAGGGTTTAGGGTTTAGGGTTTAGGGTTTAGGGTCACAAAAGGGGGGGCTTTAGGGGTTTAGGGTCTATAGGGTTTAGGGTTTAGGGCTTATAGGGTTTATAGGGTTTACAGGGTTTTGGGGTTTATATAGGGTTTACGTAGGGCTTATAGGGTTTAGGGTTTCGGGTTTAGGGTTTAGGACTTTCGGGCCTTTAGGACTTTTGGGGATGCAGGCGGGTTTGCCCGGGTTTACGTGTGAAGCGCTTCGGATGGCTTGTGGTCCGTTTCCTGGTTCTTGTACCGCCACTGTTGGAATTGTGTACAGACTCTTGGGGTGTCTCTCTGCTTTTTCCGGTGCGTCGAGCAGTAGGTTTGCGAGGTTTTTTAAGCCAGACTTCGGGAGCTTCAGGAATTCGGAGTTAACTGGTAATGGGATGTCATGGGGTCTTGGGGACACCAGGCTTAAGGGCTATAGGGTTTGTTTTAGGGATGTCTTGAACCCCGGTGACTTAGCTTGCATCCTTACCTTCTGCAACTCCGAAAGCAAAAGGCGATTCCTGACCCCAAGCCCAAAAGCGCCCAAACCCGCAAAACTGCATACCCGACAGTGCCCTTGCGCTCAAGCCATGAAGGGTTCAAAAGCGACGAGACTGCAAAAAAAAACAACAAAAGGTTGAATCCAAAGACTCTCAAAATGAAATTGAATCGAAACCCTGAGGCCAAAACTCCTGAACCAAAGCTCATAAGTCCTGCCTCGGCCTCAGCGGGCTCCGCCGGCTCCGCAGGCTCCGAGGCCTCCGGGGCCTCCGGCGCGTCGGACGCTGGGGCGCCCAGCTCTGCCTAAGGAAACATTTTTGCGCTTTTAGTGGCCCTTTTGATCGTTTTGTTGAGGAGGGCAGTGTGAGGCTTTCACTCACATGATTGGTACAGGCGCTACTTATCTAGAGGAAAGATTTCTTGAGTAGGGCGTATGCACAAACCTACACACATACACACACAAACGATAGCAGGCAGGTCACATCACACTGCATCACACTCGCAACGCCGGATGAAAGCACCACATCAGGTGACATCAGAAATGAGGAACTTCGTGCCCTGCCATGCCATTCCATGCCTAGGGATATCAGGCCATTCTACGGTATCATGAAGCCCACAACAGAACGGGTCCTACGGTCCTACCGTACCGATGCAAACCAAAAACTAGCCTGAACCCCATAAGCACCCACGGCCTAACAAAACTGCAGGGTGAACCGGTGAACCCAACCGCTCAGTCGCCAGCCGTTTCAAGCATGCCTTCTGCCGGTGTCAACGACTCCTGCACTTGTACAGCATCTTCGGGGCTTCAAAATGTCAGGAGCACCTGGGTCTACGAAGGCTTAGGGCATATCTACCGCAGGCGTTCTGTGATGGGGGTCAGAATACAATCTGAAGAATCGAAGGCAACTTTTCAGAACATGCCCGCTTTCTATGAATATCTGATTCAATCTAGGAACGTTTGCTTCATTTGATTTTGTAAAGTTCTACTACCATTCTCTGTCGTCGCACTTGCGCCCGGCTTCATCCAACTTGCTCCTCCTAAACTCAGCTTTGCGTTTAGGTCGTCGGGACCCAAGGAGCACGATTTCGGATTGAGGGTTTGACTTGCTTTCGGGTAGACATGCCCGTAGCGTTTGCTCAACTTGCTCCGGCTCCAGGCTTTCTCAACCGAAAGGCGACTCTTGAAACCTGGAATCCTGATTCTTCGAAACAAGTGCCTCTACTCCAGTAGAAGCTCGTCCGGCGTCAGTGAAACCATCCTAGACAGAAGGCTCCGCTCGTTCTGGATGGGTGTTAGGCTTTGGGGGTTACTAAATGTCGCCCACATCCATTTCTTAGAGGTATGAATTACAATGTCACCCCTCTACTATACTAGGTAGACTGCAAGACTCCATGTAGCTTGTTCAGGCCCGCTTGTGGGCTTACAGGCATGGGGTAAAGGGGCTGTTGCAAATGTGTAATCTTAACTACTAGTGAGCAACATCCACCATCTGAAAAAACGAACATGAAGGTACTGCCCGTGAATTCGGGGCTGCTTGACAGGATCTGAACCAAGAAGCCACATTGAGCATCGCCAATTACTAGGCTCCCTATCAAGCACATTCTAGATGAGTCAAGTGGGAGAAAATGTAAATACAGGAGCCTCAGCCATTCGTCGTAAGACTACATCGTAGCTAACTTTGTACAGTAGATGTTTAGATGATCAGTTGTCCCCGTGATTCTAGTTAGTTAACACTCATTCATGGCGCTGTGTGCAGAGTTTGGTGTATGGGTACAGGCTTGCCACAGCGCTCACCTCAAATCTCTAGGTACCTTACCATGCCTTCTGGCACGGGCTCGGTTCAAGTTGCAGGTGCAAGCATGCTGCTTTGAACTGTTGCATTATTGGCGCCTATCTGAAAAGAAGCTGCTGTAAACTGCATGCCAGCGCAGCTTTCTGCGTAGGATTCGAGTTTGTGGTGGGCAATATATCCAGGGGCCACAAGTGGATACTATTACCGATTATCGAACCGTTGCAGAACTCTCCTAAAACCCTCAAGAACCCCCCCAAACAAAACTCCTTACAAAAACCCATATAAACCCCTTCAAGAACCCCTTAGCTTGCCAGGTTTTGATTTCAGATTCGTACTTCGTATTGCCAGAACTCCGTGCCTCGCCGAACATGTCAGGTGCCTCTGCGAGAGGCCAGGGTTTAGGGTTTAGGGTTTAGGGTTTAGGGTTTAGGGTTTAGGGTTTAGGGTTTAGAGTTTCCAGCTTTAGGCTTTGGATTTTCGGGTAAAGTAGGTGCCGCCGTATCAGTAAATCGGGACCCAGAAAGGAGCCGCAATTTTAATATTCCCCCCATATCCGAGACGTCGCATCCTTTCACGAAGATCCTTCAGCCATCCTCTTCGAAATGGAAATCTGCCATCGAACCCGGTGGATATTCAAACCAACGTGGTGTAACAATATGCCACAGTTCTGGCTGAGTTCAGAGGCATGAGGTCACTGACGCACCAGAAGTGACTGTGCTGGCTGTCTGATTTAGCTTACAATGAACCTAGACAAGCAAAAGCAGGCAAACTTGTAGACTGCCAATTGCGTCTGCCTGCTCGACAGCGTGTCCTGGCACATTGCACACTTTTCCCAACCAGCGTTCGAGATCCCTGATTTCAGGTGAAACACTTCACGGGCAGTGCTGCGAGAGCAAGTCCAGCTGCAGCTGGCAACAGTTGGAGATTCATGCTATGCCTCTATGCCAAGTTACTTGTGCGACATAGACCGTGCAGCATAGCCGCCACGATTGCCAGAGCTTTGACCTCGGGCAACAACTGCAGCGGCTGCAGCGGCGGCGGCTCTGGAACTTCCTCTGGAGCTACGCTCGGACCCTCTTCGCTTCAATGCAGCGGGTGCCTCCTTTGTACTGGCGCGTGGAGGAACCTTTGCCTCCTTACCAGCAGTCTCTGGTACCTCAGCTTCTTTACGTGCATCCTCGTCGAGAAACCGCTCCTCTGCAGGGACGGCTCTTGTAGGGCTGGGCATTCGTGGAGGGCGCTTCGCTTCGATGGCAGCGCACTTGGCCCGTAGTTGGGCAAGCTCTTCTTGAGCCCCTTGCAGCTTCTCACATTCGAGGCGTCCCGCCTTGCTCTTGGCCAGCATCTGCTGCCAATTTTGCAGATGTTCTGCCTGGACCTCAATCTGGCGCTTCATGTCCATGATGCTGATCTCCATCTCTAAAGATCGAATGTCAGATTCCAGTTGGAGCTCCTCCGAAATCAGTTTGGCCTCTTCTGCATCGTCGAAACCGCCTCCAGGCACCATCAGACCATGTTGCCAGGATTCTCCCACGTCACCGTCTTAAGCACATGTAGCTGCTACACTTTAGCTGTATGAACCATGCGGTTTAGGATGTTGTTTATGGTTTCGCGGGTAAGATTTCGGGCCGCATTTCGGGAACCCCTAACCCGACTCTCGGTGCCTTAGCAATGGCAAGCGGGTTTGGCATATACTATGCTAAACCCGTGCTAGGAAGAGTACAGGCAATTATTCAGGCCCCAGTATGACACACTTCTTAGAACTAGGGCGATCACTTCTTGAACATATGTCATGGCAGATCAGGTAACAAGGCGTCGAATCGCTTGGGGCGAGCTTTGGATGTTGCCAGCTCGATTTCCTCCCAGGCCCAAAGCCCAAACCCCAAGGATCATGAGATTGGAGCCTGAAACATTTGTACTTAAGGTTTCGTGGCATGTTCTACTGCAATTACAAAGGGGCCCCTATCTTCAAGTCCGCAGACCCTGAAAACGAGAAGCAAAACGGCCGATTCCGTTGGACTCACTCAAGCGGATGAGCCGACTTCCCCGTAATGCGAATAACATGCAGAATATTTAATGTGAGAGCCATAATGTACACCTCTCAACACCCAGACGAAACATAAACAAATAATTTCCCTGCGCACCGAGCCAACGAAGCTTGAAAATTGCCTCAAAATAAAGGTCTCAAGCCAGCCTAGGGGATCAAGCCCCTAAACCCCAATGTTGCCAGCAATTTAAGGAATCTTAGTAAGCTAAGCACTGAAACCCTACACCGTCCTCTCTTCTGGCTACGGTGGCACTTCGAGAAGTCTTACACTCCCGCCTCCGGCGGCGAGGGCACTGCGGAGGAGTCAGGTGCGCCCTGGCAGATCGCTTCAGGGCTTTCCTTTCTCTGTCTCAAACAAACCCCGACTACATACGATAGGGGCCTTTTGAATTAGAATAGGACTTTGGGGTATATTATGTTATTGCTACCTTATTATAATGAGGAACCGCGAAAGCAGTGTTGGTAATTATATTGAGGCCCTTTGGTTAGGATGAAGGCTTCACGGTGGTAGTGTTAGGGAATCGGCGAAGACATGGTTCAGTGTTGAGACCTTTGGCTTCCTGGCTCTGAGCTTCTTGAATGTCTTGTGGGGGATGCAATTAATGGCGGCAGGTATTTCGGGCTTGGGCCAGTAGACGATCTCAGATGCTGGAGAGTGGTGGTACTGCCCTTTAGGCGCAGGAGAATGACAAGAGCTCAGAGCTGGACATCGCCTACTCTCACAAGGACACGACCCAATCCCTAAATCAGGGGAAGCTGTAGGTATCTGCAAATTCGGTTACTGCTACATATAAGCTGGGAGGGGGCTCATGCCTCTTGCTCCTATCCTACTCCTATCCTACTCCCATCCTACTCCCAAGATATGCATAGTATGGAAGTAGTATAGGAGTGGGACGTAAGTAGCAGAACTTGTGAATCTTTGTAAGCCAGCGACTTGTCTTACAGGAAGGCTGAGTGTCACACACTCCTGAAACAACCCTCGTAAACCTTAACCCCTAGACCAGAAGCCCTAAACCCTAGAGACCCTGAACCAAGCCAGACAGAGACACTCCACGAAGGGCCTGGTCCTCCACTGCCTTTTCCTCTGCCTTCTCGACCTGGAGGATTTATGATTTTGGGGTGTCGGAGTTTATGCTTTCGGGTTTAGAGTTACCCTCCTTAATGGGGGAACCACTACAGGGGATCAAGAGAGGTTAAGACTATAGCTCATGAAGTCAAGCGCTGCTTCTCGCCGTGCTGCTTCGGAAGATTCCTCAATGGTCAGATACTTAGAGGCTGAATACCCTAGACCAAAAAAGTTAACCGTTTCAATTGTGGTAGGGCTATATGAACCCCAAAACGTCAAAGGTTACCTACTCAGCTACTGATAGACATGCAGTATGTCTCGACAGTTGCACCGACGGTCGGTAAGGAACCCGGACGTGGAGTTCAGGGTGTACAAGACTGGGGCTCCTATGTGAAAGGACGGAGAAGCCATCACTCCGAAACCCCAAAACCAAAAGGGCTTCGGGCTCCAACTAGGATTCCGAAGCCTACACCCTAAACGCACTCAACAACCTCGCTAAACACCTGGACCCTCAATACCTGCACTGCCCTAAGCCCCCAAACCCTACACGCTCCCTACATCCTCAAGCCAAGGATTCAAAGGGGGGGGGGGGGGTTGGGGGGGCACGCCGACCTTCTCGTCTTCCTGCTCGGCTTTCTCGTCGTCCTCCTCCTTCGCCTGTGGACTGAACTCTGAGTGGAGGCGAACTGTAGAGCTGCTCCTTCGTAGGTCATCCCAGGTTCTCGTTGCCCCTAGATACCAAGCATGCTGACCAAACCCAATCACTCTAACGCGATGGCCGTGGCTTTCGTGATCAACTGATCCTCTCACTCTACATGAAATGCACAGGGTAGGTTGCCAAAGCACAGCGGTCGTCTAATGCAGCGAGGAAGCTTGATCTAGGTCGACACACTCGAGGGGTCGATGGCAACCAGACTAAGGAGAATGCTGAGCGGCTCAGAGCCGTCTTCCTCAGTATCCTGGCAGGCCCTGCAGCCCTCAAGCCACAAAATTCCCGACGACGGAGCTTCAACAATGGCCAGGAACAATCGAGCCAGTTTATGGCAAAATCCAATGGAATTGTGAAAGTATCGTGCTATTCATTGCTTAAAGGATTATGGGAGTCAGTAACTAGGTTCATAAATACACTACCTGTAGTTCTACCTACTTTTAACCCCAATTCGGGTACTTGCCAAAACCCCTTATCCTCCACATGGGCTTCAATCTAAGGAACGACCTGGAAAATCCCAAACAGGCCTTCGTGTACGGCTTCCCTTCCCGTCTCCGGAAATAAGATTGAGGGTTTTTAGGGTTTAGGGGTTGAGGGTGGTGAGGGTGGCTTCAACTCAATCCCACGATGCAAGGTTTATGCCCTCGAAGGACAGGCTCTCAACCTTCAAAGGAAGCGACACCTGGGGTGCCCTGCACAAAACCTAGCCCTCTAAGCAATCCGAAATCCTAGACCCAAAACCTTGAAGCCCCAGCAGACCTACAATGCTGCATACCCTAGAATTAGCACCTGAGTTCTCAAAGCTCTACAACCAAAAAACCGAAGCAACCTGGCCTTTCCAGCCCTATAGCCCTAAACCCTGTACTTAAACCCCTAAGCCCTCACAACCGCACCCTAAACCCTAAACCCTACCAGTAGACCCCTAAACCCCTAACCCGCAAACCCCAGACTGACGCTCCCCGGGTTTGGCCTTCTTGGCACGCCGGCGGCCTCCAGGGAAGCCACGGGCTCGCTTCCGGCGCAAGCGCTTGGCCTTCCGAGGATCTTGGAGGCTTCGTGGGAAGGGTTTAGGGTTTAGGGTTTGCCGTTTACGGTTTAGGGTCTAGGAGCTCAAGGGTACGATAAGGTTGCTATGGGCGCAAAAACCTTGAGGTATAAATAGGGTTGTGGGTACAATAACGCTTCTTGTAAATAGCGGTTACATAGCGTTCTGGGCGCTAAAAGGGAGGCACGAGGCCTTTAGAGGAGGTTTTCTTGCAGTGCGAGGGGTGCTGGGGTGTAAGGCCGAGGTGTGGTGTAAGGGCCTCCAAGGTGTGGCGATGTATGTGGGTAGTTGTCAAAATTATGGTCCCTTTTGGGGTACCCTAAATAGTAGGTGCCGTATTATAATAAGGACCCAAAAAGGGACCCTAATTTTGACAGCCACCCATGTATGTGCTGCAAGCCGCTTTGCAATTTCGAGCATCGCGCTTCAGCCTTCAATAGGGATCTTTGTGGCTCGGGATGTGTTTTCACAAGTGCACCGGCATGGGGTCTTGGTTGTGATGCCAGTGGCTGCTCGGAACGTCCTAGGAAATGCCCAAGCCGAACACAAATTTGACCTGCAGTGCAGTGCTGTGAGGACGTTGAACAGGAACATTGGCTGGACAGCCTCGATGTCTTCGGACCATCGGGACAGCCGGGACTCTAAACCCTACCTACCCAATCTTCCGCAAACTGCACCAGTCCTATGCAGCGTTACCAAAACCGCGATCACCAAACCATGAACGTGAATGACAGTATATCGTAGCACAGTATAGCATGGCATGGCCTGGTATGCCACAGCATACCAGACTGGAAAGACTAGACTGGACTAGACGAGACATAGACCAGAGCAAACCAGACCAGACTAGGCAGAGACCAGACCAGACTAGACCAGAATTCGGTAGTATAGTGCCCTGCAATAGAGTATAGCATGGACAAAATCTCAAAGGCTGGCGGCCTCTTCCCGCCGCTGGAATTTCAAAGATTCCGTGACTTCTGCCTAGTCGCATATTGGTGTCCGCATTTTACAAGCTTTAGGAGTTTAGGGTTTAGGGTCTTGGGTGTAGGAGTTTAGAGTTCAGGGTCCTCTTTAGGGTTTGAAGTTTAAGGCTTAGTAGGGCTTGGGGTTTCGGGCTGCTGCATTTCCTTGGAAGCCTTGCCTTCTTCTGCACTTCAGACACCAAGTACCCTCAGTCGGTAGCAACATCTACTTATGAGTTGTCGCTACAAGAGGCCTAGCATCTGAAATCCTCAATCTGTGTAGTTCTCTTTTAGTCAGGGTCCCTGTCAGGGTCCCTTTTGTTAGGCTGCCGCCTTATCTGGGGTTCCTCCAAAAGCTAACTTAGAGAACTACCCATCTCTAGCTCTGGAGTCTGGACCCCAGAACACGTGCGAGCCCTGAGGTCACCCCAGCATCGGCAAATACAGGGCAAGGTTCAAAAGGTTCAAGGGTCGGGGATTGGCTTTAAGTCTTAGGGTTTCGGGTTTGCGTTTTGGTTTGGGTCATGATTCTGCTATCAGTCCTGCGTCTCGTTGTTGGTACGAGTTGCACCCGCTACTCTTAATTACGCCTGTGATACAGACAACTGATGCTTTCATTCTTGTGTACTACGTCTTTGCCCGATCATGCAAGTACCGCCCCTAATACACGAAGCTCAACCA